CCGGGCTCCAGCAGCGCGACCCTGACGGCGACCGTACCAGTCGTGCAGCTGCTGCGAGGTGAGAGGCACACGTGGACGAAGGCGGCTACTCCAAGGAGACCGCGCAACAGCAGACTCTGAACCCTCAGCGCCAGCACCCTCAGCAGCTCCAGCGCCACCAGCACCAGGACCTCCAGCAGCTCCAGAACCTCCAGCGCTAGCACCCTCAGCAGCCCCAGAACCACCAGCTCCAGCACCTCCAGACCCCTCACACTCAGGCTCAGCACCTCCAGGCTCTACACCCTCAAGCTCCGCACCCCCAGGCTCCGCACCCCCAGGCTCAGCACCTCCAGACTCAGCACCCCCAGAAGTAGCACCCCGAGCAGGACCACCCCCAGCAGGACCTGAGTCACCAGTGACCTCAACCGGCGCAGGGAAGGGAGGAGGGTCTACCTGAGACACACCTGAAGGAGCAGGACCGGGAGCGGGGAGGGGGTCTACCTGGGGAGCACCTGGAGCGAGGAAGAGCGGCGGGGGGGGGAGCGGGGCAGTGCGGTAGGGGAAGAGACGGTAAAAGGGAACCGACTCGTCGAACGTGACGTCCTGAGACGCAAAGACACGGCGCGAGGTGGGGTGGTAAAACTGCCAACCAGGCGCGTCAGGGACAAAGCCAAGGAAGACACAAGGGACAGCGCGGGCGGAGAGCTTGTCCGCAGTGGTATCGCGGACAAAGGCACGAGCACCCCAGACCCGGAAACGCGACGCATCGCCCACCTTCCCCGTCCACAGCAGTGTGGGCGAGGTCTCCGGCAAGGAGACACGGGGCCAGAGGTTGAGCTGATGCGCGGCGTACCGGACCGCAAACGGCCACAGAAAATGGGGGGCAGCCACATGGATCATGGAGGTACGAGCGACCTCCATGACTAAGCCAATGCGGCGCTCAGCAACCCCATTCTGCTGCGGAGAGGCCGGAAGCGTGAACGACTGGGTGATGCCGTGCTCCGCACAGTAGGCTGCCAAGAGGTCTGAGGTGAACTCACCGCCTCTGTCAGAGTGCAGACGCAGGACAGAAAAGTCCCGCTGGAACCGCTCGCGGAGCTAGAGACGAACAGCGCGGATCCAAGGGATCAAAACATCAGGGACGTCCCCCTTGCTGCGCAAGGGGAAGACCGTGGTGTAACGCGTGAAGTCGTCGACGACCAGCAGGAAGTACCGCTCGTGGCCCTGTCCACGGACGCGGGCTGGGCCCCACACGTCCAGGTGGAGAGTCTGCAGGGGAGCCTCTGTGGGAGAGAACGAGGAGGAGTGAGGAGCGGCGCGCTGCCGCCCCTCGACGCAGGGAATGCAAGGAGGCGCAGGCGAGGGAGGGAGGGCAGGCAGAGTCCTGGGGAGACCAGAAACCAGAGAGCGAGAGTGCATGCCACGAAGGCGCTGCACCGAGGGGTGACCAAGGCGGTGGTGCCACAGGAGGGTCTGGTGCGACAAAGCACGACACTCGCAGGGGGCCGACAGCTGACCTGACGCAGACGCAGACGCAGCTACCTGAGGGGCCGCAGTGGTCAGTGTGTACAGACTCGAGCCAGGCGCACGGGTAAACGTGGCCAGGTGTCGGCCCGTCCGAGCACACGTACAGTGAGTCACCCGCTGACCCGCAGGAGTGAACTGGTCAACTCCCCCATCCTGGAGGTCAGCTCCACTCACCAAGTTCGTAGAGAACGAGGGGAGGTAGAGACCTGACAGCACGCCAGATGGGACGGCCGGACACGGCAAAACCGTGGAGTAGCGGGCAACGACAGGACCCCCAGAGGGGTCCGCCAGGGAGACTGCAACCGGCCGACTAAGCGGCGTGAGTGTGGTGCAGTCGCGAAAGAAGGAGCGGGAAGCTCCTGAGTCAAGGGTGAAGGTGTGCAAGGCCGCAGCAGGCGCAGTACCAGAGAGAGCAGACTCACAGGCACCTGGGGCGGCAGCCTCACCAGCACCTAGAGCAGAAGACGCAGTAGCACCGAGAGCAGCAGCCTCACCAGCACCTAGAGCAGGCGACGCACGAGCACCTAGAGCAGCAGCCTCACCAGCACCGAGAGCAGCAGGCTCTATACCTGGGTCAGGCGGTACGCACAGGTAACAGGCTCGGTCAGCACTAGTAGGCAATGCATACATAGCAGTGAGAATAGCATCATAGTCAAGAGCAAAGATATCTATCCTCTGGCTAAGCAGCTCCAGCCAGGTGGGGAGCTCAGCCTCGTCACCAAACTCGGTACGCCAGGCGTCGCTCAGGCGGGCGAAGCAGCGGGACTGTGTGTGACCAGGCGTCCCGCAGGTCTGACCAGCTCGATCACCTGTGCGAATGACGTACCGGCAGCGCACTGGACTGAAAGACCCTCTACTCTGAGCGTACCACTCCTCGAGCTGCCGAGACGTAAGTGTCTCGCGTGGACGCCGCTGCAGCTGCAGCTGGCCACTGCTAGAGGCCCCCAACTGACCAGCTCCAGGGCGACAGCTACGACGGCTACCGCGACAGCCCCAACTAGTATACCACTCACTAAGCTGCTGGGGCGTGAGAGACTCGCGTGAGCGTCGCTGGAGCTGCATCTGGTCCCTTGCTAATAGCTAGTAGCAGCAGCAGCTCGGGCAGGGCAGGCGCGGCAGGCCGGCAGACAGGCAGGCAGGCCGGCAGGCAGGCAGGCAGGCAGGCAGGCCAGCAGGCAGGCAGGCAAGCCGACAGGCAGACAGGCCGGCAGGCAGGCAGGCAGGCAGGCAGGCTGGCAGGCAGGCAGGCAGGCCAGCAGGCAGGCAGGCAGGCCGACAGGCAGACAGGCCGGCAGGCAGGCAGGCTGGCAGGCAGGCAGGCAGGCAGGCCAGCAGGCAGGCAGGCAAGCCGACAGGCAGACAGGCCGGCAGGCAGGCAGGCAGGCAGGCAGGCAGGCAGGCTGGCAGGCAGGCCAGCAGGCAGGCAGGCAGGCCGACAGGCAGACAGGCCGGCAGGCAGGCAGGCTGGCAGGCAGGCAGTCAGGCAGGCAAAAAGACAGGCAGGCAGGCCGAAAGGCAGGCAGGCAGGCAGGTGCTCACCAAAGGCTGGAAGGGCAGGTGCTCGCCGGGCGAGCAGGGCCGAGTAGGCGCACGACCGCAGCTGCGATGGGGCCGGAACAGCGACAGTAGAGTAGGGCCGCAGCAACTGCAGGGCGGGGGGGGGCCGCTTCAGCGGCAGTCGCAGAGTGGGGGCCGCATCAGCGGCAGGTCGGAGCCTCGGCAGCAGCAGCGAGGGGCCGCAGCAGCGGAAGGTCGGGGCCGATGCAGCTGCAGGCTATGCAGGGCAGCGCGCGGGGCTGCTGTGGGCCGAGCGCGGGCTGCGGGAGGCAGAAACAGGCCGCGCGCAGCAGCAGCAGGCCGCGCGCGGCTCGGCAGGGACTGCGCGCAGCAGCAGCAGGCCGCGCGCGGCTCGGCAGGGGCTGCGCGCGGCTCGGGGGGGGTCGCGCGCGGCAGCAGCGGGCTGCGCGCGGCTCGGCGGGGCCGCGCGCAGCAGAAAACGGGCTGCGCGCGGCTCGGCGGGGCCGCGCGCAACAGAAAACGGGCTGCGCGCGGCTCGACGGGGCTGCGCGCAGCAGAAAACGGGCTGCGCGCGGCTCGACGGGGCTGCGCGCGGCTCGACGGGGTTGTGCGCGGCTCGGCGGGGGCTGCGCGCGGCAAATCCGGGCTGCGCGCGGCTCGACGGGGCTGCACGCGGTTCGACGGGGCTGCACGCGGCTCGCTGGGGGCTGTGCGCTGCGCTGACGGCGTGTGAGGGGCAGCAGAGCGGCGCGAGCAGCGAGGGCGACGCTTGAGGCAGCAGCGGGCAGCGTGCGTGACTTAGGTCTGCGCGGTAGCAGCAGCAGACAACACAGTAGGCAGCAGGCAGTAGGCTACAGGCAGACGGCGCGCGCAGCGCAGCACGTCACAGGCAGAGGCACAGGCGTGGGGTAGCGGTAGGTGGGCCCGAAAAAAAAACGGTCCTACGGACCTACTGCTCTGAAACCATGTCAGAATCTAGAGACAAGAATCTAGTTTGACAGGGGTGTGAAGGCCGAGGCCATCAAACGGCGCCCTGCGCTGTCGTGTGAACACCAAGTGGTGTTGGTGGCCAATGGGAGTAGGCTCCCAGATAGGGTTAATGATGACGTAGGTTCGGCCCGTGTGGAGACCATTTCGAGTTTTTTTTGGGAGGAGCTAAAAACGGAGCAATTCCAAATCACTTCTTTGAGCTCCAAAACTACATTCTTATAAATGTCAATATGAACAAACCCGGGTCTTCTAAAAAGTATACCATACATAATTATACCCCCCAGCCTTTTTAGGGGTGATTATCATAATACCCTAGGGTCTTATATACGGGGGATTACGGTATGTTGCTCCCAACGTGACATTGCTACCTTGTTACAGTCGTGGCGAGCTTTCGTCTATACCAGTTACTGATTTCTTCAGTACCACCTTTAATGCTACGTAGTAAAAGTACTTACTACTAATGATAAGACCACCATCGTTTCCAAGAATTTGAATGATAAAATCTCAATTCGTGTATTCAACCCATGTTCTCGTATCAATGCCACTGGCAACCCTCCGCTCTAATGCCCCGAAAAGCTCTCCCTAACACTTCCATGCCCCACTCCTTTCTTATAATCAATCACTCCTCTTCCTCCTCATCCTTGATTTCCTTCTTGCTCCTTCCGCTGCTCTTCTCCTTGCTGGTTCGCTTTCCCATCTTGGTGCTTATATCCTTGGTCGTCCCTTCCATGCTCCCCTTGCTGGTGCCCTTGCTAATCCCCTTGGTGATCTTCTTGCTGCTCCCCTCGCTGCTCTCCACCCCAGCCTTGACCTTCCTGCTTCCACCCGCCTTCTCACTCGCCACCTCCTCCCCCTCCTTTTCCCCCTCCTCCTCTGCATCCTCTACCTCGTTCTTCTGCTTCTCTGGCTTATCAAAACCCACCAGCTTTCCAGGCTCAACAGGCAAACCAGCAGTAGACTCGGCCTCGCTACCACCAGCGGGCTTATCAAAACCCACCAGCTTCCCAGGCTCCACAATAAAATTACCTCTTGACTCAGCCTCCTTACCGTCAGCAAGCGAGTCAGCAGCAGGAGCAGGAGCAGCAGTAGAACTATCAGCATCAGCAGCATCAGCAGCACCGTCGGCAGCACCACCACCCACCTCACCAACCGTTATTTCTACATCACCAGATTCAGCTGCAGCAGCAGCAGCAAGAGCCGCAGCATCAGCACCATCACCAATACCACCTCCCTCAGACACCACCTCCACTTCCAGCTTGTCCTCTAGCGGGGGCGCCAGGAACGGGCGGCAATCGGTGGCGCTATCTGGCCTTACAAGACTCTCATGAATGAAGCTCATCTCGCAACACACGGCGCAGCGGTGGTTGTATTCGATGCTGAACATGCGGTACCCGAGATTCTCGAGTGTGTACACCATGGTGAGGGTCTTCACGCTCTTGTCCATGCTGCAAACGGGAAACGAACAGACAATAACGAGGATGGAGAAGCAGGGGGGTGCATTCGATGCTGAACATGCGATACCCGAGATTCTCAAGCGTGTAGACCATGGTGAGCGTTTTTACACTCTTGTCCATGCTGCAAACGGGAAAGAGGCAGCCAATAACGAGGACGGTGAAGCAGGGCGGAAGAGGGGGAGTAAGCATGGCAGCATGCAAACTGAGAGAGAACAGAGACAGCGAGACCAACCGGTGCGAAAATGGATGCCAAAGTATGCTCCACAACAGCGCTGAGCAGGGTAAAAACCTAGTGCATCTTAAACTACCCCTTACTTGTGAAATTCGATGAGGATCTGCCCAAAAGGAAGCTTCCCTCCATGCACCGCCAACCTCTTTCCAGTGTTGTTATACAGCTTGCCAAGGTCCTTGATCCACTCGACCTCACACCCCTCGCAGTCAATCTTAAACACGTCCACGTAATTATGCCCGAACTGCCCCATAATCTCGGGCAGCGTCGCAAATTTTTTCTCGGGGAATTTCGCGCGGTAGGCGGGGAGGGAGGCGGATCCGGAGAGGCCGATTTCGATGAAGTGGAGGAAGGGGAGGGATGCCATGATGTTGCGCTTTGCAGGGGGGAGGAAGGGGTCGAATGTGTAGGGCATGGTGCGCAGCATTTGGTGCATCTCCTTCTCAAACGAGTACATGCCGAAGCTGCCGATGCTGCAAGAGGAAAAGGAGGAATGGAAGAAAGGAGAAGATTATAGAAGGGGTCAGATGTATAGGGCAGCCTTTGGTGCATCTCCTCCTCAACTGAGTACATGCCGAAGCTGCCGATGCTGCAAGGAAAAAAAGGAGAATGGAAGGAAGGAAACGTAAATTGAAGGGGTCGACCTTATAAGGCAGCAATTGGTGCATCTCCTTCTCAAACGAGTACATGCGACTTTTGAGTCGACTCAAAAGTGCATCTCCTTCTCAAACGAGTACATGCGACTTTTGAGTCGACTCAAAAGTGCATCTCCTTCTCAAACGAGTACATGCGACTTTTGAGTCGACTCAAAAGTGCATCTCCTTCTCAAACGAGTACATGCGGTTGCCAATGCTGTCAGCAGAAGGAAGGAGGGAAGGGACGTCCGGAAACGGGAAAAGAGAAGAGACAGGGAGGAAACGAGAAGGGGGGAAGGGGATTGAAGGTAAAGGGCATTGTGCGCAAGATTGCGAGTACATAGCTGAAGATTGCGAGTTCATAGCATTTTTCTTTTCAAACGAGTACATACTGAAGCTGCCGAGGAGAGACGTAGGAGGAGGGGAGGGAAGAGTGCGAACCTAAGATGTGACAGTCCTATGAAAAAGTTTCTCCGTAAGAAGCTGGGGGTGACGAGTGAGTGAGAATCATAAAGAAGAGGTGGGATTTTATGTGGATGTAGACAAATGCTGCGCAGACTCTGCACCCGTTCAGTAGAACAATCTCACCGCCCTCAAACGTACCACCTCTCACCGCTCTCAACCGCACTGCACTGCATCTCACCGCCCTCACCTGTACACGACGGGGTCTTTCTTCTGGATGACAGACGGCAGCATGCACGCCCACTGTAGCCGGAGGGAGGCATGAAGGAGAGGGGGCATGAGAAGGGAGGGATGAGAAGCGACGCACGATAACAGTGGCACTGAGGGCCATGCAAAAGTTATTACTAAGTCCCTTTCTCGCCCTCTTTTTTCTTTTTTTAGAAGGGGAAGAAGGGAGGGGAAGGGGGGGAGGGCGTGAGCGAAGGCGAAAGGCTCAAAATGAGTGTACTCTTTTTTCCTCTTAACCTTTCCATCTCTCACAAATCCCCTTCTCACCTTCCCGCCGTCGCCCCATTTGCCGATGCGCTCGTTGAGGGGACACGTGTACGTGGGAGCGAGAATCAGCTCGTTCATTCGCACGGGGTTAAGAACCGTACTGCACCCCTCTCACTTCCTCATAACCTCTCCATTCTCCCACAGATTGCCTTCTCACCTTCCCGCCATCGCCCCATTTCCCAATGCGCTCGTTGAGGGGACACGTGTACGTGGGAACAAGAATCAGCTCTTTCATGCGCACGGGGTTGCCCAGCATCGGCTGTAGCGCGCCATTGAACTCCTTGCGCCTGCGCTCAACGTTCTCCTGCAAGGTGAACAGCAAATCAGGAAGAAGCGGTGGATGTTTAGACGGATAATGCTGGCAGGTCGGGAATCTGCCAGCATCGGCCGCAGCGCGCGATTGAACTCCTTGCGCCTGCACTCAACGTTCTCCTGCAGAGATGCGAGGGGGGTGGAAGGAAATATAACTGCTTAGACGGAAAACGCTGGTGGCATCGACTGTAGCGCGCCGTTGAACTCCTTGCGCCGGCGCTCAACGTTCTCCTGCACATTGAACAGCAAAGCAGGGAAAAAAGGTGGATGCTTAAACGGATAATGCCGGCAGGTAGGGAATTTGCCAGCATCGGCTGTAGCGCGCCATTAAACTCCTTGCGCCAGCGCTCGACGTTCTCCTGCAACGTGGAAACTGTACCCGATAAGAAAGAATAAAATATCGATAAAAGAGTGGAAATGTAAATGCTTCGACGGAGAATGTTGACAAACTGGCGGTTGCCCAGCATCGGCTGTAGCGCGCCATTGAACTCCTCGCGCCTGCGCTCAACCTTCTCCTGCAATCCAAAAAGCAGAAAAGGTAATCAAATGAGGACGCTTAGACCGAGAATGCGCCTTGAACGTGAAACTCTGCTCGATGTGCTCAACGTTCTCCTGCAATGCGAGGAGAATATTCTGAGGTTATTAGAATATGCGTGTTTGGTTCGACATCCATGTTAATCCAATGTGAACGTTCAGACCGATAATGCGCTTTGAAACTCGTCGCACCTGCGCTCAGAAACGACTTGAGAAAGCCAAAAACGTCATACAAATGCAAATGTGTATGCCCTTTGTCAAATACTCACCCAATAATTCGCCTCCGCGCGGCAGATTGTCGCGTCAATCTTGCTCGTGCTGGGAAACAGAAACGCGACCCAGCCGAGATTCGGCGGAAGGTAGGACGGACCGAAGGAGCTTAATCCAGCCGACGGCTGCGACGGTGACACGTGGAAGAAGGTCATCAGGGCGACGAGCACGCCTAGAGCGATGACGTACGGAGTCATGCATTTGATGCATGATTTGGAATTGGCGGGAGAGTGGCTCTTCTTGAAATCATTGGAACCCATCTAATGATAATCTGTATGCGTGTATGCCTTCCTTTCTGTGAGTTGTCGAAAATGAAGGGAGAATGGAGATCGCGGCAAGAGCTTCGAAAGAAGAAGCTAGGAGGCCGTGTTGAAACAAGCGGTCAGGATATTATGTATCAACCAGTCTTCGGCACAACAGAGCTTCAAAAGGCTCTGGGAGCGAAACCAGATCCTTCAAGAAAACGCTTTTCACTGGCCCAACTGGCTATTGAGTTGTCAAGCTCTTCCTTTTCTTTCAAATGTCATTCCTGAGGGACAGAAGTGAAATATGCGCAGCAGTTGCAGAGTACAGTGATGGGTCTGAAACGTGCCACGAGAGTTAACTTGGCTGCCGTGCTGTGCGATGCTCCGCGTTTTAGAGCGGTCTTTTACGTTTCAAAACGTTTGAGTAGGGTTCGAGAAGTAAACGCATTCTTTATGATACCCCTCTGGGATTGATGGAGCTGCACCAAGTTCCACCTTTCTCGAAAACACAAAACCGAGCAAAACAAATAGAATACCGTACTGACGTCTAGCAAGAAATATCTGTTGCAATTCCATCATCTACTGACACGGTTTTCCGCTTTGGTGTGCTGATTTGCCTGCCGTATTACAGGCGGGAGAGCAAATGATTGGTTTAGAAAAGTTTGGGGCTCGTCCACGGCGGAGACTCGGTTCGGTCCGTGGCTGATGAAACTGACAAGCAAAGGGCAAAGGCGGCAGTTGGAAGCGGGACACTAGCTTCGCATGCCTCACCCTCCTAGAAACATTTCACTAGGAGAGGTGTACGTATTGTAGGTGAATGGCGTTGGTTGGCTTGGACGGACGGGCAGCCAAAGCAAACAAGTCAGGTGGTGCCCGAAGAGCCTGACAGGATTTTGGCGCAGCGAGCTTGACGAAAGCCAATCCAACCACTCAAAGGCCCTGTTCGCCACGTCTTTTGTGGGCCATCAAAGGGATGGGCGAGGGATCCGGAATCCGCCTTGCACCTTCGAAAAGGGCTGAAATCAGGGTTTAAGGGCCGGTCAGACCGACAAAATTCTGTCGAGCCTGACGTTCCCCTCCGAACCACGGTGGGCTCGCTGTCGTGGCGAACACCCACTTTTAGGGATTGGGGCGAGGGATCTGGAATGCGCATGGCAGTTTCCTGCCCTGCCAGCTAGGAACCCCATCCCCCCCCCCCCCCCCTCGCCTCTCCCTCGTGCATACCACGAATTTCGGAGGCGCGGGACGGGATGGCCGGGGGATACCACTGAAATCTCCCCCTAAAGGAAGGGGGGAGGCAGGTGCTAGATCCCCTTGTCCCCCTTCATGATCTCGTTGGCGAAATTTCCCTTCGGGGGCGAGCCTCCGGACGTAAGTCGCATCTTCCAGCGTACCTTCTGGAGCCCTCGCCCATCCCCCGCCCCTTGCCTATAACGTGGTCGTGGCGAACACTGCCCAAGCCCTGTCACGTCTTTTGTGGGCCATCAAAGGGATGGGCGGGGGATCCGGAATCCGCCCTGCACATTCGTAAAGGGCTGAAATCAGGGTTTTAGGGCCGGTCAGACCGACAAAATCCTGTCGAGCCTGACGATCCCTTCCGAACCTCTGTGGGCTCGATGTCTTGGCGAACACCCACTTTTATGGCTTGGGGCGGGGGATCCGGAATGCGCATGGCAGTTTCCTGCCCTGCCAGCTAGGAACCCCATCCCCTCCCTCGCCTCTCCCTCGTGCATACCACCAATTTCAGAGGCGCGGAACGGGATGGACGGGGGATGGACCAAAATTCCCGCTCTAAAGGAAGGGGGAAGGTGGGTGCTAGATCCCGTTGGCGACCTTCCTGGTCCCATTGGCAAAATTTCAGTCGGGGGCGAGCCCCCGGACGTGGTTCGCAACTTACAACGCGCCTTTTGGAGCCCTCGCCCATCCCCCTGCGAAATAGGGGCAAATCAACATTCGGAGGGACCAATCAGAGACCACCGAGGTGATGACCTGACGTCAGACACGAGCTAGGAATGCACCCTTATTCTGACGGTAGTCGTGGATTCATCTCCATTCCAGAGAGGCTACAAAATAGCATAGTTTTCTTCCTTCGGGGTTTGGTATATTTCATAAATTGCCTTACAACTCCACAAAGTATGGATAGCTTATGTTTGTCCAGCAGTAGGAAAGTACCAGCAGACGCTATAGCGCCCGTCACTCCATAATCCTAGGTCTAGTTCTATTTTTCCAGGTAGCAAATGTTACAGCATCACTTCAGTCCCCCAGCCAAATACTTCCTATTCTCGCTGCCTCCTTTCAAAGTCTCCGTTCCCCTTCCTTATGAAGCTCTCCCATTTTTGTCACCACAAGCAGCACCTGTCTATTTTCCACCTGCACCCCCAACCTTCTTATCCTCAACCTTCTCCTCACCCCCCTTGACTTCAGGGGTTACAAACGGCCGGCAATCAGTCTCACTCGAAGGCTTCACAAGGCTCTCGTGAATGAGACTCATTTCGACGCAAAAGGGGCAGTAGGGGTTGTATTCGATGCTGAACATGCGATACCCGAGCCTCTCGAGAGTGTAGAAGGTTTCGAGGGAAATAGAGGCATTGTTCATGCTGGTAAGGGGAAGGAGGGGTGTTTTAAAGACGGGGAGATGGGGGGTTGAGCGGGGGAGTGTGGGGGAAAGGGAGGGATGGGGGAAAAGGGGGGTTGTTATGGGAGAGGGGAAGGCACACTAGGGGTTGTACTCGATGCTGAACATGCGATACCCGAGCCTCTCAAGAGCGTAGAAGGTCTCGAGGGAAAGAGAGGCATTGTTCATGCTGGTAAAGGGAAGGAGAGAGGAGAGGAGGGGGGGTGAGGGGGGTCCGGTTATATAAGAAAAGGGAAAGGATGAGAGGGTACTCGATGCTGAACATGCGGCATTTAAAGCCTCTCGAGCATGTAGCCAGACCGGACTCACGAGTACGAATGAACTTATTTAAGGTAATTTAAAGAGAAGGGGACTGATCAAGCTGATCAGAGCAACTCCTTTGTGCATCTTGATAAGGATCAGTCTCACTGATGAGACACGGATCAGACTGTCTGATAGCTCTGTGTGATGAGACACGGATCATACTGTGTACTCACCTGGTCACAAAAATACTCCATATAGAGCAACTCACTTATGCAACTCGATGAGGATCTGTCCGAACGGCAAATTCCCTCCATGCAGCGCAAGCTTATTCCCAGTGTTCAGATACGCCGCTGCCATATCCTTTATCATATCCACCTCGCACCCCTCGCAGTCAATCTTGAACACGTCCACATAAGTATGCCCCAGCTCCTTCATTATCTCGGGCAGCGTCAAAAACTTTTTGTCCGGGGAGTTCTTCTTGTAACCGGCAAGAGATGCCACCCCAGAAAGGCCGATTTCGTTGAAGTGAAGGCACGTGAGGTTTTTCATTATTTCCAGATTGGTCGGATTGAGGAACGGGTCGAAGGTGTAGGGCTTCACGCCTAGTATCTTGTGCATGGACTCCTCAAACGAGTACATGCCAAAGCTCCCAATGCTACAGGGCGAGGGGAGAGGGGAGAGGGGGAGGTGAGAGGGGAGTGGTGTGAGGGGAGGGGAGTGGAGAGGGGAGAGCAGAGTGAGAGGGTTTAACGACTATCTTGTACATGAAGTTTCATCAAACGAGTACATGCTAAAAAGCTTACAAAATGGTGGGATATGGAAAGTAGGAGGGATGTTGAAGGGGGAAACAAGAGAGGGACATGAAAGCATGTATCCTGTGCGTGACTTTTTCAAACAGGTGCACGTTAACGCTTCAAAATATTTGAACTATCAAACAACGAAACCTTCCGCAGCAGAAGATGTCCAAAACTGGAACCTCACTCTCTCTTCACCCCATCACATTCTCCTCACCCCACCACACTCCCCTCACCCCACCACACTCCCCTCACCTGTACACGACGGGGTTAGTCTTTTGGATGGCGTTGGGAAGAAGGCACGTCCACTGCGCACAGACAAGGAGGGCATGGGGGGTGGTGGGGAGAGGTCGTGACGGGTGTAGAGGGGTGATGAAAGGTTCACGAGGGTTCAATAGTCTTTGGATGGCGTTGGGCACAAAGCACGTTCCCTCCGCCCAGGAAAGAGCGAAAGGAGAGGGCACAGGGGATGGGGAGGAAGGCGGAGCGAAAACAAGAGGTCATAACGGTCAACAGGTGATAGGTTCATGAGGGCTCAACACGTGATGGGGTCATGATGGGGTCATGAAGGATCACCACGTGATGGGGTCATGAGGGCTCAACACGTGATGGGATCAGGAGGGGTCATACCTTGTCGTTGCGTTCAATGGTAGCACACGGGATGAGCACCAGCACCTTCATTCATATTCCCCCCTCCTTTCCCCTTCCTCCTGTCCCTCCCTGTGTATATTACCTTGCCGATGTGTTCATTGGTAGCACACGGGTAGGTGGGGATGAGCACCAGCTCCTTCAATCACACGGGATTGAGAGCCTATTTCCACCCTTCTCTCGTCCTCTTCACCTTTGCAAATCCCCATCTCACCTTTCCTCTGTCACCCCATTTGCCAATGCGCTCGTTGATGGCGCACAGCTACGTGGGATTGAGCACCAGCTCATTCCTTTAACTTACTCCTTCATATTCCCATCCCCCCTTCCTCCCCTCTCTCCCTGTTTATCGTACCTTGCCTCCATCTTCCCATTTGCTGATGCGTTCGTTGATAGCGAACGGGTACGTGGGGATGAGCACCAGCTCCTTCATTTGCACGGGTTTGAGAACCGTACTACACCCCGCCATCTTCCTCTTAACATTTCCAAACTCCCGTCGTACCTTTCCTCCGTCACCCCATTTGCCGATGCGCTCGTTGATGGCGCACGGGTAGGTAGGGATGAGCACCAACTCCTTCATGCGCACGGGGTTCCACATCTTGGGCTGTAGCGTGCCGTTCAACGCCTCCTTTCGGCGAGCAATGTTCTTCTGCACGAAATGAACGAAAGGAATGTTACAGGGTAACCACTCAAATGCACGGAATTCCACTTTTTGGGCTGCAGCTTTCCTGCACAGGAAAGTCAAACGAGAGAAATTATGCAAGGATTCATTCGCACCGAATAATTGTTTTGAGTTATAATCGAACTCATGAGTCGCACTGTATTTTGACTACTCTGAAGGGCCTCGCAGAATCTCGCTTCTTGTTTTTCACATTCCCGATGTTTGAGCCCTTCACGCTACATTGTAATTCATTGTATTTGAGCCGAACAAATTTGGGATGGTGGCTCTTGGAAAGGATCAAAAGCCATGATGTTTTAGCACTTCGCTTCACAGCACGAAGCTCGGGTCGGGTACTGCCAAGAGACGAAATACCACATTGCACGGAACTTAGTGACAGTAACGTCCTCGTTTCACGTCTTTGTTTCATATGGTAAACAGCGATGCAGCCTCAATGCCGAATATGGTACATGGCAACGACAATGTCAGATGTCAGTCACCATATGACAGAGAAAAAAAAAAAAAAAAAAAAAGTCACTTGAGCACGGAAAAGCAGAGTAAAAGAAATGCAGATACATAAGCAAAACAGAAGACAAAAGAAGGAACGAGTACGCACCCAATAGACTGCATCTGCTCGGCATAACGCAGCGTCGAAGCCGCTCATACTGGAAAACATCTTTCCAGTCCATTCGAGAGCAGGCGTCTGGAATGACCCTCCGCCATTGCTCCATGCCAGGGACAACGGCCCGGGATTCGCGAACGTAAGGTAAATGGTAATGATAATCGCCGTAATAACCGCAATAATGACTGCGTGGGGTATGATGGATTTAAGTACGGATGGCGACGTTAGGGATTTGAACGATGGCAGACGCTGGAAGGAGGATTTCGGCGTCTTGGGTTTTTCTTCGAGGGTCGTCATTTCGTCCTGCAGACTTTCAGTGGAACGATCTGGATTTTTTTATTATTCTACTACTACTATTAGCCTTTCTTTTCGTTTAGTCTGACACTTGCGTATGACGCTGCGAGCGTCAGGCTTCTGTCTTGAGGGGTGGAGCTCGGAAAGAAGTGTCAGTCTTGAATCCTCTCAACTGAAGTGCAGCGCTAAACCAGCTGTCTCAATGAACCGCCAACTGAAGAGTGAGTGTTCTGCATGAAGGCAGCCATCGCTGGTTTCATTGCACAGATTCCCAATCACTAGTCCTGCCAGAATCCAGCCAGCACAGTGACTCAATTCAGTGCGGCTAAGTGAGATATCATGGCATTCAGCACGGTGATTATGTTCCCTGAACGATTGGGTTGGGTATATGACGAGGATGAATCGTGGTGGGGTGTCCACGTTCGAGGTGTCCATACTATGGTGGACCGTGAGGGAACCGAACCGAGGTCTGGTTAGTCGCGGCTTGGTGGGGAAGCTGTCAGAGAGCCTCGGTCTTGGCACGGCGAGGTACGAAGGCGGTTGTAGCGAGAAGAACAGCGTGTCCTCCATGGCATGACAGTGAAAGGAAACAAGAATAAAGAAAACAAAGACAAATACCGTTTTCAAACTTTTTTTTTTTTTTTGGTGGATATAGGTACACAATCAGCATACATACATCCGCAGTCGTAACTGTTGCTAGGAGGGCAGGGAGAGGTTACAAGCATCCTAGTAACCAGAGCCCCCCTTATCCCTTTACGGAGGCTGGAACGCTACACCGCTATCTTCCCAGATCTTCTTGAAACCAACTCTCCACGTCATCGAGGCCTCTGTCTCGTAAAGCCTACACATAGCACTTGCCTCGTCAGCATTCAAGTGGCTCCAGTCACCCGTCCTTTTCGAAGCAATCCTGCCAGCCGATTTCTTCCGCGCTCTGTTGTAGACCTTCACGTGCCTCGTGAAGCCAACTGCCATGCGCCTCAAAGCTCTCTTTGGCTGGAAACGGCTCCCTCGGAAAACCGCGTTGCACCTTTCCAGCCAAACTTGGTGCGCTGTGATGGATATGATTGCTGCCTCAGGAAAGCCAGTCGATGTGCCACTCTTTTGGAAGAGCATGTCCCCGAGCGAACGCATGTCCCTGCCCGGATTCATACACCGAACCACATTCTTCATCACCTCCACCACAGGTTGGATCACCGGGCAGCTGAAAAGACAGTGATCCTGCGATTCCACTCCGCCACAGTGCGTGCATTTCGCCCTCGCGCCCAAGAAAGGGAGCCGCTCTCCCACCTGGATGTTGTTACTGTGCACCCTCAGTATCACCTCCCGTGCTCTGCATGGGGTTGCCAGCGAGTCACGGACCGTGATGGCCTTCCCCCAATCGATCTTCCTCCCCATCTCCTCTTCCCACTTCAGCTGCTGCTTTGGCTGCGTCACTGAGGGTTTCATCGCCTTCCTCAACTTCTTTAGATCAGCCCGCTCGCCTCTCTCACAGATTGTGGAACAGAGCAGTCGCGTTCTCGGAGCGCCGAGTAGGCCGCGAGCCCTCCCATCGATGACTGCCATGGGTGAAACGCGCCGGAAATCCACTGTTACCACGCTAGCATATTCCACCTCGCCTATGTTCCCTTTCTTGTCCACCGTCACTCTCCGACCGTAAAGTTCGCCATTGCTCACATACTGCAGCTGGTAGTAAAAGAACTCTCCTGGGTGGTAAGACGAAGAGCGGACCAGCCTCGATTCCCTGAAAACCTCCTCCGCCGACAGTTGCTTGAGTACCAGATCCTTCCAACTCTGTGGTGTCGCATCCCACGCCTTCAGGGCCCACTTCCTCTGCTCCACCCCTCCCAGTTCCCTCTCCAAAACCTCCTCGACCGTTTTCAAACGATTTGTAACCGATTGCACCGATCATTGCAGACACCTAAAATATCCCGTTTCGAATAACTAGGTTTTCGCGCCTGCGGTTTCATGACAGATCCGCTATTGCTGGACAGGATTAGATAATGAAGTTCATGTCAGAATGAGGAATGGATGATGCATTGATGTTGGTTGGGGTACATATAGCTAACCCTAAGTTTTGTACCCCCTAAGACAAACCTCACTATAGGCTACAACATTTGACACACCCCCATAGCCTAAGTGAGGGGTGTCTAGCAGAACCAAACGAGTACGGTCACAAGACCAGTCCAAGAAACGAAGCTCAGGGTGGATCACAACGTCACCACACAGTCTGAGCACAAACAACAGTGGCCACAAGGCCAGTCCAAGAAGTAACAGAGGTATATAGAAAGCAAAGTAAACAGTACACTCAAGCCTAAGCAACACGAGAACCAGTGTCAACAAGGCCTAACTGCACACAGCACCTCTGGTGGTCACAAGGCGGAAGCACCTTGGTGAAGATGTCTGCAGTGTTGGCCTCGGACTCCACAAACTCAAAGCGAGCCTGTCCACGCCTCTGCAACTCTCGCAGAAGAAAGTACCTGACGTGAATGTGCTTCACTCTGCTCTCCAGTCGTGGCTCTCGACAAAGGAGAATAGACGCCTTGTTGTCAGTGAACAAGGTCGGTGCAGAGCTCGGCCGCTCACCAAGGTCGGTGAGCAAGAAGGTCAACCAACGCAGCTCCTGTGCCGCCATGGCACCAGCGTAGATCTCAGCCTCAGCTGTAGAGGTCGAGACCGAAGAGGAGCGCGTGGACCGCCAGGAAACAGCTCCAGAACCCAGGCTGAAACAGTACCCCTGAGTAGACCTGTGAGTCTCAGCGTCGTCAGCGTAAGAGGAGTCACAGTGACCAGTAAGTACGACAGACTGCTGCCCTCCAAGAACTAGCCCCACGCCTGACGTCGTCGCTAGGTACTTCGCCACCCTCACAGCTGCTGTCCAGTGAACAGGACGGTGTCTCCCTGGCGCAACAAAGCGCGCAAGAACGCTGAGAGGGAAGGCGAGGTCCGGGCGAGTACAAGTCATCAGGTACATGAGGCAACCCACAAGCTCTGCGTAGGGACCACTAGGCTCGAACGGCTCGTCAGGAAAGGGTCCAGTGAGTCTGTGGTCAACAGCAAGAGGTGTGCGCTGTACTGTGGAGTGCTGAAGCCCGAACCGCTGAAGGACCTGCTGCACCATGTGCGACTGTGAAAGTGTAATGGTGCGAGCAGCTCTGTCCCTGGTGATCTGCAGGCCAAGGTAGTGGCGCAGCTCACCAAGATCAGTGCACGTGTGTCTCTTCTGCAGTTCGGACTTCACGTGTGCCAAAGCAACCCTGTCAGGGGTGGCGAAAACAAGGTCGTCAACGTAGACCAGAACAAAGAAAGGTGTGGGGCCACGACGAACGAACAGCGACGGGTCAGCAGAAGACGGCTGGAACCCAAGGTCAGACAGGGTAGAACGCAGGGTGTCGTGCCACTCACGAGGAGCCTGACGAAGACCGTAAACCGGTCGCCTCAGCCTCCACTGGGTCCCAGGAGGGAAAGAGCCAGTGAAGGCAGAGGGACGACGCAACCAGACCTCCTCATGAAGACTGCCCTGAAGGAAAGCAGTAGAGAAGTCGAGAGAGTGTAACTCGTAGTCTCTCTGTGCTGCTACGTGTAGTAACACCCGAAGAGTGGTCATCTTCGGGGTGGGCGCGAAGGTCTGAAAGAAGTCAACTCCCTCGCGCTGACTGAAACCTCTAGCCACGTAGCGCGCCTTGAAGACCGGAGGAGATCCCGGTGGCCGCTTCACCCTGTAGATCCACATGCCGTCGACTACGTTCGCCCCCGGAGGGGGAACCTCATCGACGTAGGTGCCTGTGGATCTGTAGGAGGCCATCTCTGCGTCCATGGCAGCTCTCCACTGAGAGGCCCAAGGCCCTGACACTGCCTCAGCGTAAGTGCGAGGAGTCGGAATGTCAAGGGCGTCGGGGTCACCCTCAGGGGCGAGGAGCATGGCACAGAGATGAGGGGAAGCGGCCGCCAGGAACTCTAGCTCAAACTGCCTGTCCTCTAGGGCGTCACAGCCAAGGGCAGACACACCCCCGACGGCCAGAGGACTGGAAGGAGGAGCTGCCACAAGAGCGGTGGCGAAGTCAAGGCGGCGGGTAGAGGCAAACTCAGTGACTGCGGCAGTAAGAGCGGACACAGAGGACACAGAGGCACGAGGGTGGGTAACAAGAGAGGCGAGAACACGAGAGAGAACAGGACGGTACGTGCGGTAGTAGTCAGTGACAGGAGAAGGAAGCGACACAGTGAGGGCCGACTCAGGAGGAGACGGAAGCACAGACGGAGACGGACGAGGTGGACGAGAACAAAGGAAGGCTGTACGAAGGTCAGTGAAGGGAACAGGAGACGAGGGACGAGCACGAGGGGAGCGACGAGAGGCCCAAGTCTGAGAAGGAGGAGGAGACAACGAAGACTGAGAACGAGGGAAAACAGCGGGAGAGGGGTCAGGAGGAGGAAGCGGAGGACCAGAGACGGGAGGAGAGGGGGAGGAGGAAGGAGAGGGAGACGGGAGACCAAGGGTCCGAAGACCCGAGACAGGAGGAGGAGACGGCAGCAGCTGCTGCTGCTGCTGCTGCTGCTGCTGCCGCGGCTGCTGTGGCTGCTGCTGCTCCAGCGGCTGCTGCCTCTGCTGCTGCTCCTGCTGCTGCTCCTGCTGCTGTCGCTCCTGCTCCTCGAGCTGCTGCAACTCTCTCTCCTCTCTCTCCAACTCCAGCTGCTCCTCACGAGCACGGCGAACACGAGCCTGGAACCTGGTCGGGTAGGGGTGGGGGGAAGGA